TTTGATAAAATCGATCCGAGGATAGTTGCCATTGTGATATATATAGATTTATATGATTTATAAGAGCATTTTTCCACGTTATACCACATGGAGAAAAGATCCCGGATTTTTTAAAAGATCTAATAAATCCCAAAAAAATAAGTCCCGGTAGCCCCTCAACCGGAACCGTAGAAAAAATTACTCAGGAACCGTTAAAGGAACCGTGGAACCGTTTCTTTTATATAATCACTGACATCAAGCTTTTCTCAAGATGCTATTGAAAAAGAAACGATTCGCAACTCATGTTAGGCGTGATTCTATACTGATCTTGAGGCAGAGATACAAATTTTGTAGTCAGCGACATCAGCAAGCATGATCAGTACCCCACATATTGTATATCATAGCCACACTTTGATAGGTAAACGGTTCCACGGCTCCGTATAATAATTTTGGAACCGAACCGGAATCGCTGTTTTGAAATGATTGGGGACCGGGACCGGAACCGCGCTTCCGGTTCCCGGTTCGGTTCCAGGTAATTTTTGGAGCCGCAGACCTCTATCTTACATACACCCACAATCACATCCATGCGCACACGTTTTCATTGTTTAAAGAATGAATTAAATATGTGAAATAAATAAACTAAAAGATACTAAAAACCCGCATTAAATGTTATAAAGTGCTATCGGCCCCTTTGAGTCACAGCGCAAAACGAAAGCTCTGTCTCTCTTATCACTGGGGAAAATCGAAAGAATCCCTGTTTCTCTGTTAGCAATCTTCGTCATCGCTAATGTTATCAATGCTTTTATCATTTAGTGGCATGTTGCATGTAATTTTGTTGAATAGTAGAGAATTTCCAAATTTCACCTTGGGAATTTATCATAGAAAGTAGTGGTCAATGTCAATAAAAAAAAAAAGAAACACCGGAGGAAAAATCCTATTATTAAATAATAAAACTCATTTATAAATTCAGACGAAATCTACTCAGTCGTTTATCAAACATAAACTATCATCGAAATTTGAAGTTATATTTTCAGCGTAAGTAGATTACTCGAATCGTTATTTTTGCTTATTAATTGTTATTGTAATAAGTGAGATTTTACACAAGAAGAATCAATGCCAAGATTACATTCAATGTTATCAATCAATTACGCGTTCAATCATTCGTTGATGTGATAATAACGATTTTAAATGTACACTAGTCTATATTTTGATAGTCACGGCTCCGTATTAGTTGGACTTGTTGCACAAAAAAGGTGTGACTACCATCTGAATGGACGAGTATTCTTATATTTTCTTTTGTAAACTTTCAAATCATCACTTAAACTGGATTTTACGAAGTTATAGTATTTATTTAAGGAGCTATCATGGTGAATACTATTTGTTCAATTAAACCAGGAGATTTTTTTTTATAAAGTCCCGATCGTGCTTGCCAATCAAACATCAATTGATAAAAGCTGTCGTTGATTTAACTTGATATTTATTTACAATCATCTCTAGCCTGGTTAAAATTGAAACCGATTTTGCAATAAAAACACTTCTAAAAGCAAAAATCAACAATGATGTTACTATTACTTTTCTACAGATTGAACTTCCCCTTTTTATGTTCTATTTCAGATAATAATTCATAAATTTTTAAATCAACATGATAAAATATTGATTCTTGTCGAATGGGTAAGTTAACATCTATATCTTACAAAAGGCTACTGTTAAATCGATAGTTTAATTAAAAATTTTCCACTTTCATCATTTATGAAATCTATTTTTTAGAGTCGAATATGTCTTTATCAACAGAATTGGAATGCAATATTTGTGGGAGATTATTGAACGAAAAAGATGATACAGTAACTACTGATTGTCAACATACATTTCATCGTCAATGTGCCCAAAAACGACTTGATGAAGACGAGAGAAGTGATTGTCGTAAATGCAAAAGGAAATCGGCTTTGAGTGATGCATTGGCTCGTTTTAAAACAATAAAAAAGCTTGCATGTATTATTTGTGACCAGTCGTTGGATGTTAATGATGATTTGGTGACGACCGAATGTCAACATACATTTCATCGTCAATGTGCCCAAAAACGACTTGATGAAAACGAGAGAAGTGATTGTCGTAAATGCAAAAAAACGTCCGCTTTGGGTGATGCACTTCAACGATCTAATCCAGTATTAGAAGGATATTGTGGGATTTGTGATAAAGAATTAGGCCGAAAAAGTTCGACGATAATTACTCCTTGTCAACATATATTCCATCGTCATTGTATTCAAGAACGATACGAAAAAAAAAAAGAAAGCGATTGTTTGGAATGCGATCAAAAATTCGATATTGGCACTTTGCTTCCAGGATATCAAGAAACTTCAACCATAATAACATCAATACCTCAAAAAAGTCAAAATGTAAGTTACTCGTCTTAATTAAAAAAAGAATATTGTGTAGAATATATCAACTCGAAATCGTTTTCTAGGTGAAACCAATTGAAAATGTCACTTCAGAATCGATGATGAGTACAGTAACTACAATGGACATCGATGAACAATATTGGAGATGTGCAAACTGCTCGGTGAAAAATGAACCATCATCGGAGCTATGTGGAGGATGTCAAAAACCACCACGTAACTCACTCATGAACTCAGCAATTTTAACAAAAAACTTCGATGCATGTCATCCATCGACAGTGCTAAGTAAGAATTTACAAATCTATGATTTCTAATTCTTTTTGCCATATGCGCATCTGATTTTCAGTAGCATAGATATTTTGTAGAAATTCAAATTTTCTCTTTACAGAATATTCCGGTGACTCTTCATTAACGACCATGCTATATTCAAACGTCAATTCATCGAACACAAGCGAAACGTCATCTTCACCTTCAATGTACAAATCTCAACCACCTCCAATACCACAAGCTACTGTATACATTAAAGATTTACCAGCAAAAACTATCGACGACATTGAATTGGCAAATAGGATTTGTCATCGCATCAATGAACTTTACAAAATAGAACCACTTCATATTCAATGTAATTCGAAGTTAGATTTTGGTTCCATTCGTGTCTCAAATGAAGGCAAGCAATATTTAGTTAATACTGCTGGTAGTATGCCGATGGATAATCGACCTGGTTCGCCTTTAATTATATTTATGGATACAATTGAATTAGTATCATATGTTGTAGTTGGTGTGGCAGACGATAAGAACATACAAAATTTACCGAAACCCGATGAAATTAGTTCCCGATGGTTTGAAATATTTTCAAAATTAAAACCTCGTTCATGTGAATGTGTATGCATTCAATTTCCAAATGTTTACCGGCTTATAACATCAATCGATGAATCATATGTTCCTGTAATTCAAAGCAACTTTACAATAAACAATCACTTTGCTCAAGCTTATCTTGGTGCTGATTGCTGTTATTTTGAAGATATTCCAACATCACTCAACGAACAACAATTACGAGAAGCTATTGCTAAAACAATTGCATTAGAAAATATTTCCTTTGGAGAGTTGTATGTTGAAATCAATAAAGCAGCAAATAATGCATGTATCATCACTTGTGGTACAGCACGACCATGGTCAACGAAAAGTTCCATTTATCTTGGTCAGAAATTAATGTCAAAGAAGGAAAATTTAACTTGTTATTTACTTATTCATTCTGTTCCTGAAAATTATCCAACTGATTTGATAATTAACCATGATACATTTAATAAAACTGCAACATTATACAAGCGTCGTGGCACAAATTTAATTCTTGAAATATCGGATAAAATGATTTTTGATAATTGTCTTAAATTTGGAACACTTAGTATGGATGATAGAGTCGTTTTTCGTATAACACATTATACTGCTCATAATGATCCTGATGAATGTGAAATAAATGCTGATACTTGGTATGATAGTGAAATGCTTCAATACAAACAACCGGATATTATGCAGTTTGTTCAAAATCCTAAACATGAAATATTTCGTTACAAATGGAATTCAAAATCATGGCTTCAACAATTCAAAAGACTTACAACAAATGATCAAATTTCAAATCGAAATTTGAATGCGCGAAATGCTAAAGGAATATTATTTGATGTTCTACGGCATCATCTTCGAGTTACTGTTATGCTTAATACAATTGCAACAATACGAAACAATAAATACATGCTCCACGACTCTGCGGTTGATTTAAATTTAGACAAAAAATTACGAACAATTGTTTATAATCATGAATCAAAATTAGAAATTGGTGCAGAAATGCCTTCGATTGATTCTCTTCATAAAAAAACGAAAGTCCAAGTTGCCAACGAAGATTGTCTTGTTGTTTATGAACGATTAGCAAATGAAGGCAAAAAACCACTTTTATTAAATATGGCGAATGCAACCAGTGCAGGTGGCGGTTATCGTAAAGGAGATGGAGCACAAGAAGAAAATCTCTTTCGTCGATCAGATTATTGTCGAAGCCTGGATGTTGGTCTCGATGAATTTCAAGATGAACCTTGTGAACGATCTCTTTGCACATCACTATGTGATCTTGATTCATCATTCGATTCACAAAAAATGTATCCAATGAATGAGTTCGGAGCTATTTATACATCTGGTTTAACTGTATTTCGTCAATCGGAACAGACGGGCTATGAATATATGCAGAAACCAGTACATAATGTATGCGCATTAGCAATGGCCGCTTATCGAAGACCATCATTAGATGGAGATATGTTAAAATCAAAATATGCTGTTGGAATGCGAAAAAAAATTGAAAATCTTTTTTCAATTGCTTATCATCATAAACACGATTGTCTTGTTTTATCAGCATTAGGTTGTGGTGCATTTCAAAATCCTCCGGATCATGTTGCAAAATTATTTCGTTCAGTTATTGAACAATACGCAGGTTTTTTTCAATCAATTATTTTTGCTATTGTTGACGATCATAATACAGGAAATAATTTAAATCCACAGGGTAATTTCACACCGTTTCAACGTGAATTAGATGGGTTAAATTGCGAACTAATGCTATCATTTAAGCAGCCAAATACAAAATTCGGCCCTTATCGTTTATCATCGGATGGTTCATTAGAAAAGGATATTTGTATTTTTGATTTACCACCATGTGATTTTGCTGCTATATGTCACGATATGTTCAATCGAAATCATGCTCTTAAATTCTCTCATCCACCTTTATGCATAAAAAGTTTAAATGGCACATGTCAAGAAAAGGATATCGTTCATATGACTTCATTAATTCATCGAAAACCTTGTAAACACGGTGCGCAATGCCAGAGTATTCGTGATCCAGCACACGATCAAGAGTTTGAACATCCACCTGAGTGCCCAAAAGGTGGTGATTGTCAAGATATAACTGATGATCATGAAAAAACTTTTCGCCATAAACCAACATGTCAACATTCACATAAATGTGGAGAATATCAAAAAAATGTTAAAGATCATTGTAAACAATATCGTCACTGTAAACAGCGTTGTCGATATGGTGGTTTTTGTATTTATTTTCTTGATAAAGAACACATTGAAGATTATATACATCCATTTCGAACTCCATGTCCATCTACTCCTTATCATTGTTCAATATATGATAAATTTGGAACGGAACAAAAAAACGGAAATCTTTCAAATGATACTTCCTGGCATTGTTCAAATTTCGCTCATGTGTGTCGATACGGACGAGATTGTACGAATCAAGATTCATCACATCAAAAAACATCAATCCATATTCCTCGTATTCTTTGTCCATATGGTAAGGAATGTAAAAAACTGATCCAAGAAGATCATTTAAATTCATTTACACATCCAAATATTCGTGATATTCGAATTTTATGTACACACGGCGATATATGTCGCGATCGTATAGATTTCAAACATTTTGCTCGATATCGTCATGCAGTGATACTCAAAGACAGTGGGGTTGTTCGATATAATAATCTTAATAAAAAGATTAATTTTACTCAAAACCAAAAGGAAAGCGAATCTCGAATTAGCATTTATGCTAAAAGTAAAGCATGGAATCGATTGCAATCTGGACGTGTTCTGGACGAAATTCTTGATTGGATACGTACGATTCAGCCTGTTCATCGATGTAAACGTGACATATTCGAGTCAATCTTACTTCAAGGTCATGTTATGAGTCGAAGTTATATGGAATATTTAAAAGACCCAGAATTCGTCGCATTTTGCATTATGGAACATAGTGAAATCCGAAAAATAAAATCTTCAATACCAAACACGTTGGTTCAGAATGTTAAAAATTATGTAACTTATTTAGTTGCTCAGCACTATATGGAGAACAAAGATCGCTTACATGTTAATCTGGAAAGTATATTTACTCAATCACCATCCACTGCTAATATGTCAACGATCCTCTCGGATAAAATTCGGACTGAAGAAGTGTTCTTGGCACAGAATTTACATAATCACATGAATTTAATTCGTAAAAAAACTATGGATATAGCTAAAGCTTCATTGGAACTTTCCAAGACTCTTGCTGGATGTGGCTATGACAAAGATAAACTCTTAGGAACAGACAAACAGGTTTTTAGTATTCTCGGACCACATAACGGCATTTATTATGGAGAAGTAGTTATTGTTTTCAAACGTGATATACTTCATCATCCGGATGCAAATTTTACTACACATGCTGGAACATCATTTCTCAGTGGAAAAGTTAATGATCATTGTCCTTGGTTAGGAAGTTTTTCAGTGAACGAACAAGATCAAATTGATTTGTTTCATAAATCAAAATTAAATGCATCAGTGCCAGGTTATGAATATACAACAGCTCTTGAATTAATTGCTACTACCAGTCATAAGTTTTCATCTGAAAAGTTAGGTTTAGAAGTCAATCTCGATCAAATTCTTAAACATTGGCTCAAAACAGATTCACATTCTGTAATTGAAGCACATTTACCTCAACTTATTCCATTAGATTATATTGAACATATTTACATGCCAAAAGTCACATACGATGAACTTAAAGGCAATGCTCGTCATGCTGTTGACGACATTTTTAAAAATTGTATGACGATAGTCGATGAAAAAACTGACCCAGACATAAAAAAAGATAAATATAATAAAATTGTGATCGATGCCTTGGATAAAAGATTTCGGTCAAAACCTGAATATAATATTTCAAGACCTATTCAAGGTACTGTTATGACAATTCAATCAAGCAAATTTAAAGAGCATTATGTTCTTCCTTTGACGATTTCACAAGCTTATGAACAATATCAAATCAAACATCCAGCAATATCGACAAGCCGCACGGTTTACATCTATTGGCAAGTCATGAATGGTGATATGATGTTAACATTATCAAATCAAAAAATTGTTAGTACAGAAGAACAACCAAAACTTAAAAGTTTGATTTGTTATATTGCTCCAAAGCCAATGTATAATGATTCAACTTATCACGAACATCCTTCATATTTGAATAGTGGTCATCCATATCAGCATTTCACATTTCTTGAACGGCGCACATATGCAGCTAAATCAACAACATTCTTCGCCGGATGTAATACTGATGATTTAATGACATTTTGTCTTGAAATTAATCTTACAAGTGGAGAGATCATTCTCTCACATGCCGGACCTAACTCAATATATAATCATGAAAAATTTTCCTGTACGTTTCCGAAGAAAACTCTCGATTTAAATTATCTAGAATATATTCATGTTAGTTCTGGTGGCCAAACATTACCTATTCGTAATCTTATCGTATGTTTTGAAAAACAACATGATCTACATGCAACATTTGATGATAAATTCGAGAAACAAACTAACGTCTCGAATAAGAGCCCAACCAACAATGTCGGTCATGCTGCATCATCATCCAATACAGTCGATGACAATCAATCAACAAAACCGCCGGGATTTTTTGATCGAGCTGGAAATGCTGTCAATCAAATCGGAGAAAAAATGAATCATGTTGTGGACTATGTTCTTGGTAATCATAAATCGAAACTTAAGCCATGTCCTGAAGGTATTCATTGTCTTATTCAATCTTTTGAAAATGGACCTGATCATAATGCAAAATATTCGCATCCATGTCGATTTGCTGATCGTTGTCAAAACCCAGAACAACATTTGACACATGAACCTCATCAAGTACCTGATTGCCCATCCGATAAGAATTGTGCGAATTTAACTGATCCTATTCATCGATCCCAATTTCATCATACAGGCTGGCCGTTTTTCCTCATACCATGTCATAGTGAAAGATGTCACAATAAAACGAAAGCGCATCTCACTAGATATTCACATGGTGAAAAGATTAACGAACCAGGAGGAGCTGAACAATCGGAAGGTAAAGAAGAAACTTTTCAAAATCAATATCTATTTTCCCATTATTTCTCATTTAGCAAATTCAATCGATCCACCGATACAAAATGTTCGAAATATACCGAGCTCGAATAAAGTTGATGAACAAAAAAAAGAATGTTACTATGGTTTAAATTGCCGACATTTGAATAGACCTGATCACTACAAGGAATTTTCTCATTCAGCTGTTAATCAACCCGTTCCTAGAGCTGACCGACAACCTTGTCGATGGAATCCAGATTGTCATGATCGAAATCCTTGGCATCGAGCTACATATTGGCATCCAGACACTTGAAAACAAAATATTTCATGCAATCAATCAATTATTCAAATGAAACCTTTTTGGGACTTTCACTTCTTCACTTTATTATTTGTATCACACTAGAAGATGCGCCTTATCGCAATTTACCATTTCGATTCTTGCAAAGGGCGATGGTGTGTGCGGTGAGGATGTGGGTGCGTGAGGCATTCGAAGTCCCATACACATCCACACCCTCAAGAAATATATCTGAAGAATTTATAGAGAAAATTATGATCTTGCGCATAAAAAAATTAGCACTATACATTGAAAAACGGACACGGCAAATGTTTTGTGGTTAGAAAACATTGATTTTGAGAAAAATGAATAGCAAGATTGTTCAGTAGTTTATGCTATTTCAGTGTAAACCTTTGCAAGGGTGTGGGTGTGGGCGTGTGGGTGTTCTATTTTGTCGTTTCTTCACCCACACCCTCGAAATATCTCATTAGGGGCATACTATATATGTGTTTATTCTACGTACGAATTAGTGATTTATATACAATACCGGATCTCAGTATTTTAAACAGAACTACCCTTAGATTCTGTCAAAATAGCTTAATTTTGGTATCAAACGATTCCTCGTAGAATTTTGCGTCTAGTGAGCTATAAACAAACCGAAACAGACGATGGTCCAGAACTGACACCTTATGCATCCCCGTCCTTTAAAGAAACCATCTTTATTTAGAGTGTATAATAACATTAGAAATTGTCATTGCAGCATTAGACAGAATTCCCACCGACTCCGTTTTCACCTAATTCCGAGGATAGAACTAGTTTCGGAATGTTCAACATTACGGAATAGGATGACTGCTCTGTATAATTAGTTCTTACTTTCGATATTATTTAAATATAATTTCCATAAAAGAATTATGAATTAATAAGTATAGCGATTGTTTACAATATGTTTTGGCCTGTTAAGTCGTAAATTTTATTTACGATGATCACTATAAAACCAAGTTGAAATCTATTTAGAGATGTGAAGTTATTGTGATTGTTATTATTAATAACAACATAACAATAACTTCTCACCCCTAAATCTGTTTGAAACATAATTCAAGGACAAATAAAAATATGCTTATTTAGTCCTAATCAACCTTGTTTGTAATATAATTTCAGTCAGACTCAATATGAACATTATATCAAAAGTAATTTTAGGTATAATTTTGATTTGATTTACTTCAAATACAACTTTTTTGAATGATTTTAGTTATCATTTTGCATATCTCTGGTCGAACAAATACGGTCACAAACGACCCTTTATGGAACCCGTAAAGTTCGACCTTGGTTGCTAGTGGATCTCCTACGTAACCCATAATGTTATAACTATTTTTGTCATTCTAAGCTTAGGACCATTGTCTGATGTTAATGGGTCACTTTTTTAAATAAGATGCAGCTAAAATGAATTACTATTTCTTTTGCTAGATATTATTGAATCATTCAAGTCATTCAACTTATTAATTCACATTCATTTATCTGGTAATTTTGAATGCGCTCTTTTTAATTATTCATGTAAAGAATTATTAAATCGATTTTCACTCTAGAAGTACTTTAATGCAAGTTCATGAAGCCATATTAGATACACGAGGAAGTTGCAAGAAAACTTGGTGACCGGAACATTACTTGACAGTGGTGCAAAGCTAAGAATTTTTCCAACGTAATACAGAGAAACAATTTTTCAACAGAAGTCATATAACTCATATTTATATTTGATGAAAAACATATTTTTGTTAATTTCTTTTCTCTTGATTGTAGGAAGACTAAATTGAAATAAAATCCGCATTTGTATTTCAGTATATTCGTGCGTATATACACTTATACGCACGCATGTATTCGCATATCTTGGGACTAACTGTTTAGAATTCTTAATTTATTGTGTTATCCTGCCAATCAAATGTTTTGTCAATTTTGGTAAATGATGATCATGTTTAAATCCCAAAATTCACTCTAGTCATCTGGTACCAATATATAGTGCTTAATCATAATTTTTCGAGTGATAAATGCGAGTAAATATGCTTTTTTTTTGCCCGCTAATCATTGCCATGTTTTAAAGTTTAAATGAATGTGACGAATTCTAATAGAAAGAATGAAATTGGAGATGTAATTACATTTTACTTTCAACCATCATATCATATAATTGTGATGATTACATATAAAACACACATTTAAATACCCAACGATAAGAGAGAAAGAAATAGCAGGAAAAATAAGCGCAAATATAAAAAACATCAAAGTAAGGTTAAAAATAGTGATGATGCCTTAAATATCACTTATAAAATGAGCTCCATTGAAACAGCTACAATAATCACATCAAATTTCTCAGCTAAACATATCAGGTTCATATGTTTAACAGAATCATATGCTTTCAGTAGAGGGTTGATGACGTTAACACCACTTTTCTTGTTGCCACTACAAAGAGCTAAAAAATAGATGTCTATATAGCACAATTTATCTCATTATATATTAGCAACAAGAACATCATTTTCTTTCAAGTTCTTATCAAAAATCTATTCAGTCTTCATACGATGATAAGAATCATGCTACTAGTTGCTTTTTTATATCATTCTGCTCTTGTGAATAGTAAGCCAATCATTCCAATCAAAGATTATAATGTGAAAAGGAAAGTAATATATACACCGGTAAGTCAATTTGCTCAATTATCAGTTTTCTTCTCAATTAATTTTTGTTTTCTTGCAGGATGCGCCAGTACCTGTAGCACCATTTAATCAAGCTATTCAAATAAATTATATGTTATATCTCGCTGGACAAATTGGCATAGATCCAAAAACTGGTCATATGATATCAGATAATGTTTCCAGTCAGACGTATCAAGTGTTGAAAAACCTAGCCGCAGTGTTACATGCTGCTGAATCTTCAGTTGATCAATTAGCTCATTGTCTTATTATGCTTACAAATATTGAAGAAGATTATAAAATAGTTAATCAAATTTATTCACAATGGTTCAAATCACCTGAATTTTATCCTGCAAGATCATCAATCGGTGTCGTCAAATTGCCATTTGGTGCCAAAGTAGCGATTGAATGTCAAGCGTATACAACTAAAGAAACCTAATCAATGAATAAGTTTTAAAAATTAAAATAAAATTATTGCACAATATTAATCCTTCAAATTTTTGTCACAATAAAAAATTGATTTAATAACATTTAATGTCCATTCATGTCTAATAACTCACTCTACATGTCTCATAAAAAACAAAATTTTCCGACCACCAATTTCTTCTCGTAAAACTAAAAAAGCAATTGACTCGATCACATATAAGGGTTACGGGTGTACCAAAACGAAAACCGATTTTGAAATTTTGGTTTTGAGGTTTTGATTTAGAAATATAATCTTTTTTCGACTTATCTAAAAAAAACTAAGGCCTCGAAACCAAAAACAATCTCAAAGCTAAATCTCAAATCCAGAACTATATCAAAACCAAAGCTATCAAAACCAAAACGTTTGGATTTGGTGCATGTCACATAGGGGTGTCATATTTTTATTTAAAAATATTTATTAAATCGAGAAATAAATTCAAATTGAAGAAATTTAAATAAATTTAAAATTTTGTATCTCCATGGAAAAATATTCCTTATAATGAACGTGAAAGAACGCGTTTTCGAAAACAATGAACGTATTTTATTGAGTAAAAACGCGTTATTGTCGCGTTCCTCAAAATTTTGAACGCGTTAATAGTGAAGATGTCTCTTATCGCACGAATGCTTTCAAGTTATATGCGTTTGAACTTGCTCGCAAATAATTCGTTCTTATTGTTAGAAAACCCGTTTCTCCAAAAATGCTTGAAAATGTATACTGAAGAATTTGTTCGGCAACTTTCAGAACGCGTTTTTCTATGTAGTGAAAAAGTACTCATTTTAACTTAATGGAATTCATTACTTGAATTATATCAGACTACATGTAGCGAAATTGCTATGCCAATTAAGAAATATGTGTCAGCATGAAAAATTTTCTTTCTGTTGCAATGCACTGAAAGAGTTAGCATCTTGTTAGACGAAGTGACCATCTATCTAGAGTTTCGTAATAAATGATTTTCCTTTTTCCTAAACTAGTTTTTTTTTATCAAATGAATTCGCTAAACTCATATTCATTTTTATTTCATAAAATTATAATTACAGAGCTTTAAATCTAGTATTTATGTCATGAATGTCAACATATCTATTTAATAGAAATATAAAACTAACATGTACAACAAGCAAATTAAATTAACTACTTTCAATTAGATTTAATAGTTCAATGATAGTAATTTCATTAGCACCAACAAATGAAAATATTTTTTCAGCTGCAGTTGTAGGAGTGTTCCCAGTTTACATCATAAAAACGACTCTATCTAATTACTTTAAAGTAAATATCTCCCAAAATAGTTGCAGTAGTTGTTTTATGGAGCAGCTGTATTTTTAAAGAAAATGATGAGTGTAAATATTGGGCGATAGTTGCTAGAGTTCCGCCACTTGTCCTGGTCACAAAATGCAGCATTCTTCCTCATTATAGCCATGCATCTATAGAAATGAAGACGCTGAACGATATTAATAATAAGGCTTAGATTGCTCTAGAATATTATACAATTTCACGAACCCTTCAGTACAAATATATGAGTATACAGCGTTTTTGATATTTTACAGTGTGAAGGTTTTTTAACTTTCATGAACAAAAAATTCAAAATATGAACTATTGTTTGCTGTGATTCATTGATCTACTGCAACTCTCAGTTAATTAACACAAAACAGATGAATAAATCAATAAGCAACTTCCAGAAATAGTCAATTTCATTGCTTGTAGATAAATCGAGATACTATGTTGTGGTAAGACCTGCTAGTGTAGATATAATAGATATGTCGCATGACAAACAATAATTCAAAAAAATTCATAATTCTCTCAAGAGTTTAGTTCCGATCTTCTTGAATCACATATTTAGAACAACCTTATCTTTATCATACTTGTAACTCGGGGTTCATCAATTAAAAAATGACAACTCAGAGTAAATAGTACCAACGCCAGCAACAACGCATATTTATGCAAACAATAAAGAAAAAGGCTTCTTGTAAAAATGCAGAAATAAAAAGAGCGAATCATCGTACTGATAACTGACTGACGAACTATCTTGAAATGAAAATCTAGTTTACGAGAAAGTTTTTAATTCGTGTATTGTGTTGGCTAAATTAGGCTAATTGACATATATAAGTTTCACATTTTAGCTTCAAAAGTATCATTATGACAAGTCGTTTTTAGAAAATGAGTTTTTAATGTACATTCTCAAATTGTACATTCTTTCCTTTATTTGCAAAATAGTAATCGGGAATGTTTCAATCGATTTTAAACATTAGATAGAAATTCTGCAAAAGTTATACTAGTGTCTGTCTCAAATGTATTCCTCACATTTTTATTTGCCATCGAACAATCCACTTATTGTTGCTCATAATAAAAACCAGGAGTGTCCATCGATTTCTAATGAATTTATATTAAATTTAGCTTTTGTAGATTTAAATTTATAATGAATTTAACTTTTTAAAATTAACGAAAGTTGTATATTTACTCAAATCGATCGTGCAATGTAAATTCAATTTAACCCAATTTAATTAGACCTCAATTCGATCGTGCAATGTAAATTCAATTTAACCCAATTTAATTAGACCTCAATTCGATAAAAATCACAATAAATGAATTTAGGTAGCATAAGAAATATTTAAGTCTAATTACATGAATTTTAATTGAATTTGAACAGTTTGTATTAAATTTTTATTAGTATAAGCTAGATTAGAAAACTTTTATTAAATGTCAAAAAGTATTAAAAAGTTAAATTTTCAATATTTTATTTTAAAAGAAATTAGAGTTCTTTAAATTTATTTTTGAATTTATTAATTTATTTTTGTAAACGCAGATGGATCAGTCTTAAGTATAAATTTCGTTAAGTCAGACTAAACTTTGTTGAATACAAATAGAAAATTTAACATTTCAGACATACGTAAGTATGGTTCATTCGGATATTCACTACTTCAAAACTACAAATTTATCTGGTCTAATCCACTCTACAGTAGTAAAAACAAAACGCATTGGAACACGTTCAGTGCAAACGCAAGTATTCGAATATAGGAACCAGCAGTCTGAGAACCTATACGAATAGCAAAGAAACGCGTTCGAGACCATCACAGAGTTGAAAATATAATAAAAAGTGATTTTTTTTCTTCGAAATTAGAACGCGTTCTTACCGTGAAACACGTGTTCCTATGGAACGCTTTGTGAGAACGCTATTTCCCATTCAAGAACTGTTCTTCTAACACAACGCTTTTAGCATAGCAGAACGCGTTATTCATTACACAAATGCGTCTGGAAAGGTCAAAAAAAGCGTCTTCCCAACACAATCTTTTATCTCGGCAACGCGTTCTCGTCCGTTCTTTTTTTTGCACTTCTTTTTCATGTGTTATTTTAATTAAATTGTCTGAAATCCAAATTGGTTCAATTTTGAAAACTAGTAGATCAACATAGTTTTTGACTTGATTGCTATTAAATATGTTTTTATGAGTATACCAGTATTTTAAAGAAGAAAGATGGCGGATCCTGGATGATCTGTAGAAAAATTTTGACTATTATGAACAAATAAGAACCTAAAATACCAGGTTCTCCACTCGTTTCATATTTACTACTGTTCTAGTCACGTATTTTTCTCATAGCAATGAGGTGTATCCATCCAAACAATTTATTAAATTTAAATGATGTTTCAGCCCAAAAATTTCATTTGAATTTAAATTTTTATGTGAGAAAAACTTTAATTTATTTCAGACTTAACTTGATAAAATTTAATTTAAATAAACTGTAAATTGACGCGGGGGGGGGGGGGGGGGGGGGGGGGGGGGGGGGGGGGGGGGGGGGGGGGGGGNAAAAAACTAAAAATTCCCCCCCCCCCCCCCCCCCCCCCAATCACGTACATACAGATGGGTGTGGGTGTGAGTGTTGGCCTTCATTAAAGGAGTAGCGATATCAATACCCACATCCACACCAACATCCTATTTTATTCTAAAAAAGTCTTTCTCTCATAAAAAAGCAAAAAGCAAAATTGCAAAAAACTAATCACGGATTCGGATTCTCCGACACCGATTACCTTCGATCAAATTTTATACAGAAATTACTTGAAATAGGTCAAGAAAATCTTTTTTTCGTTCTGTGTGAACGAACGAACGCATTTAACTCACTTTTCGTAAGACCCTCTTTCCAGTAGAGGAAATGTGTCACAAATAAAAACAATGTATTTCTGCATATGCATGCATGTTTATTTTTAGTTAATTTTCCAATCAGTTCTTAATTGCAATTTTGACGATGAACTTTTCACATGCGGATTCTACCTTCTTCATAACAAAGAATATTTTGAATAAAATTTCCTATTCTTAATTAAAAAAGTAAAATCCTGGATACGACAGAATTAACAATGATTTCTGATAAAATTCATACAATTGGAGTGGAGCTAAAAACATTTCCTATATTATTCACTGAACCTCACCTCAAATCAACCAACATGCCAGAGGGCGTGGATGTGAATCAATTCAAAAGCAGATCACCCTTGTTTTGATCGCCATCTATTATCAACGGACGATCCCCCATATTCTTTTTTCATATCGATATAAAATATCGATAGATACCAGTGTGTGTGTGTTTTCTTGTTCCTATCTTTGTGTGAAAAAGCTTAGGTTCTCATCTATTTTGATAAAATAAATATCAACTGGCAAATCTCGAACATAAGAAGCCTATCTTTAAAGAAAAGACAAATCAATTTGCTAGTCTCAGCTCTTGCTTTTGAGTAATCACATCTAGGTCTAATGTTAAACAGCGATGGAGTACCCAGTGAAAAATATTTCGAAAAAAAACGGAATAGAATGGTTTCATGCGGATATGGAAACCTATCTCCTACGTAGAGAATGCGTTCCTTGTTTGAGCGAATGCATTCAGAGTCAGAAAGAAATATTCTCGATCTGAAGGAACTCGTTCTTTACCGTTCCACACTAGTATGGAATACTTTCTTCTATACTGAAAAATCGTTCCCTATTTGAAGAGAAAGCATTCTGAATCATTCTTAAACCAGTAGAATTCATTCTAGTTCATTTTCTTTCGGAACGGTTAACATAGCATTTCATCGAAATAAAATAGCTTCCTTTTACGTTCTCTCACGAGTCTTTAAGACAATGGATTCTCTGAAAAGATGAATGCTTTCTTTTCGAAATAAACCACATTTTCATTCTAGAATGAAAGGTCTGAAGCAAAGCAGGTTGAAATTGATGTGAGAAATGATGGAATCTTCATTCGATTTTACTTTAGGGACATTTGGTGTGATTTAGAAAAATTATTATTTTAATAACGGTTTCAGTTACAACGAATTGGAGTACGTCATTCGATAGAGCTCGTCAAGTTGCATCAGGAACAGTCTTTCGACTAATTGTAGATTCATCTATTAATGATCACCCAGGTGATCAGAAAGGTTAACCGTTTTAAAGAAGAGAAAGCGTTTCACAAGTGGCAGAATGCGTTCTTCACTGTTCCATTTCAAAACGACCAAGAAAACTTTCTTAGAATGATAAAATGCGTTCTAGTGCGTTCCATTTGAGAACGGTTTCCATTTGTTGCGGAATGTTTTCTTTTCTTAAAAAAAGAGCTTCAGTTCTTTTGGAACGTATTCTTTACCGTTCTTTTTTAGTAATATTTTTCACTGGGTATAGTTAAATGAGTGTGCATGACTTGTAATAGTTTAAAAAACGCATAGTTAATTTTTCCGAAATTTTTCATGCTATTTCTTATGATATTGAAACACTCTTCAGGCTTCTACACAACATGTTTATGTAGTATAAGTAGGGAAATCCAAATAGCACAAGCAAAGATCAAACAAACAGCAAAAAGGAAAAAGAAAAGAACAAGCCTAAGTAAAAGAGAAAGGCGAACGAATTGGTTGAAGAAAAATCTTTTGAAAATGGTGGGAGTGTGTCTATAGTAAATAGATTCAGAGCTCCATACAACATGTTTCGACTATACTGAAAATGGAATATCACACGAAACCGAAAAAGCATTCGATAATTGTAACAAAATCGAAACTCTTCTGAGGTGGCGTGGTGTTGTACTACACTATATAGGTTTCCGTAGAATTATACGAGATCTGTACAAGTTTCAGTAATATGCAAATCTTTACAATAGACGTTTAAATGCTTCGAACTTTAAAATGGTTCCTGATGAACCCTTTAGCCTTTTTGATCTACAAGTGGCTTGATAATAAATTCTTTGAGATGTCGGATTGAAAAATGTTTGGTGTTATATCTCGAGTTAATATCGCATTCACGGTATAGAATGTCTCGACAGACAAAATGAGCTTAAATTTAACAGACAATATATACGATTCCGTAGTAGCTAGATAATCGAAGAACGTGAGTTGGGATTCGAAATTCATGTTCTACTCACTCACACCCTCGTTTTAATAATTCAATCATGAAAAGACATGATAATTGAGCTGGCTAAATGAAAAACAAATAAATTTACTGACAACAGTGACAAATATAATAATTATTGCTTGGGATAATCAAGGTTATTGAGATGTGAATGACAAACAGTGAAATCAAAACCTTTTTTAAAGTTTTACTGGTTATTTGTGTCAATAAGATAGGACAAATCTATTTCGATCGAATTCATAGATAATATCGTTAGATTTATACTTCTTCAGGAATTCGCTGATATCAATGGTTTTAGTTTTTCATCTCTTGTTGATTTATTGATTTCATATTCTAAAATAAACTCTCGAAGAAATCAAGCACATTTTCGTGTTAAAAAATATTTACAAAATGGATGAATATCTGTTCTCTTTTACCCATATCATTCTAAATTAAATTTTCGTTTTCAATTATTTATTTGTTCATTTAAATAGTCAGAGTCCACCTGACTTATGGTTTCGATCAGAAACAATAAAAACAAATGCTAAATCTTTTGCGGTCCATTGGGATTTGCGTTGTTTTTATACATTCTTTCAGCACCCTTTTCTGTGCACCCGATTCTATACTTGTTAAATATAGTTTTTCAGGGAATAAAAAATGTAAAATTTAAAAAAGATATTATACTGTGTACACAGAGTCAAGCATGAGGGGTGCCCCCACGTCACGATGCAGAAATAAAAGGTCAGTTGTACGGACAAATGTGTTTTTTTATTAATTGAAGTGGAAATCTCAAGTTTCATATTACTGAGGAGCTTTGGCTTAATGAATGGAGATAAAACAAATAGACGTACGAGAAAGGACGTATAGAATTAGACGTATAAATTCAAGGTGCAGAAAACAGAATTTTTTAACCAAAATGATTTAATTTGAAATTTAGCTGTAACTTTACTTTCCTTGAGAAATGCCTTGCTGTTTTTTACAGGGGTTTTCCGAAGAAATCATAAAGCGGATGATATGAAAAAACATATATAAAAACGCTTTAAAAGTATTTGAAAGGATAAAAACTAACAAAGAACTAATCAAAAGACGTAGCATTATTTAATCATTCAGTTATTTTTTAAATTTCTTTTCTATACTCAAGTGAATCAATTTGATACCGCATTCGATGATGATTCCTATTTTCCTTATTGCATGTTAACTAGTACCTGGCGACATTACTAGAGGCCAGTCAAAAGTTCGTGTGAAATTCAGTCAAATTTCTGAAGAAGGATCTGAATGTCATTCCATGTTCTGGATTCTGTAATAATTCCGTCGGTATGCTATTAAAACGTTATACAACCCGATCGGCTCCGGGCCGTATCTGATTGGATAATATAGTCGGAATGGCTCACCTGAGTATCTAGCATTGATTTGTTTGCTCTTGTATTTTTTACCTTATCAATATTGTTAATTTGCGTATTTATTTAATTCACAACTCACACCCTCACAAGCCCTCTAGCACGCACAAAATCATGATAATGACTGCTAGAATTGCGCAAACCCACAACTCATCCCTATACTTATGGTTTACATATATTTTTGTTCGGCATCAGTTTATCTATTGTTTTTGTTGTTATTATTTGTTAAACTTTCGAGCTTTTTATGCTTGTTTTATAGTTCTAGTTTTTTATTTTGGTCACACTTATTAATTCACTTTAAATCACATTCATATTTTCTATGAGGCTGAATACTTTGGAGATATATCTTCAAGATATTTTTCTTGTATCAATATTTCTACATATAAATATTTATTTTGATGCATTGACCCTGTAACATGCTACTTGTCATTTTTGCCATAGTTCTATATATAATAATATATTATTTTTTATATTATTTGTCATGCTGTGTAAATACATTCTATTAGGTAAAATTCCTTTTACTTCAAATTGTTTTTTAAGTATAATATGTTGACTAATTTCTAGTATAGTTTTTCTAACTGTTATAGAAGTTTTCAAATTGTACTCTGGTCACTACAACGGATATTGATGTTCGATTAATGATTCAAAACGTTAAAATTTCTTTTCGTAAGATTCTCTGTTGTTTTTTTATTATCTTTTCAAATAATAAAAATAATAAGAGCAAAAACAGTACTCAAAGAACGAAATATTCTGTCGTTTCCACAATCTACATTATCCTCTTCGGATGATGGACATGAATGCATATATAGCGGAATGGATGAAGAGGACAACCGCTGTCATCGAAAAATATTATACAAGGTTATTTTTGTTATTGTTATTTCAATAAATAACAAAAAAACAATATAAAACATAAGAAAGGAAAATTAAAAAGTTTCAAACGATTAATCAAAGATCAATATCCTTCCTATTGAATTGGAAACAAAAGGAATATAAAAAGACAAATTTAATAGCATTAACAAATCGTTTGTTTTGAAATGATCATTACATACAAGGATAATATCGACAGTTCAACTCCTGTAATAAAAATCAGAGATAAAAGTAATCTAGTGGAAACCTTAAAACATACATACAGATCAATCGTGCCAATTAAGGAAGAAAATAACCAGTAAACATGAATCAATATGATTTTCAATGCAAATCGCTTTTACACTAGAAATGAAATGGGTAAGAATAGCTTGATGAACGCATACCACATCACCACGCCTCTGCTATAAACCTATTCCACATTGAAAAGAACACTGCATTTAAACTCGAAGGACAATTATTCTCGTTCTTCACTTTTAATGCGCAGTTTACATACGAAAGGCGCGTCCAAGGTACAAAGTATTACACACAATGACGAGGATAAAGAGTAAAAGGAAAGAGAAACGAAAAAATATGAGAGAGATAATAGTGTAGACGAAAAGAAAAAAATGTAAAAATAAATTTTCCTATTTCGTACGATGCGTACAAAAAAGAACTACTAGAATGAGGTAGTCTAATGGAGAAAGTACATGTAACCTATGTTATAAGACACAACAGAAAATTGCTTAGACGTGTCCCGTATAAATAGGCTGCAGAGAACCAAATATTTTATTTGCTGTTGATTTTCAATTGATAATAAAACAAGATAATGGTTAAAGCATTCTACGACTTGATACGATCGGCACCGAAGGGTCGTTGGAGTGGAATTAAAAGGAACTATGGACCTGAAAATGTTAATCGACTACGCAGTGGACTTCAGATTGAATACACTTTAGCGGTAAGAAATTTTTCTGAATTTAGTTTTTCTTCAAATCTTTATGAGACTAAACCTGGGCTTCAATAAGTTTATATCTTGTTCCATGGATTCTTGGTAGAATTTTTAGACAATGATTTAGATAGATTTTTCGAAGAAAGCTTACTCACATGAAAAACAAAAACGATGAGAAATTTCATGATATATATAAAATCTGAGTTATCCGTTTTTTTCAATAAAAGTTTAACGGAAAATTTATAATTTGAATCTTTTTCATAATTTTACAGACAAATGGAGCAAACAAACTGTGGAAGTTGTTACAAGAAGAACCGTATGTTCATGCACTCGGCGCTATCACGGGGAATCAAGCAATGCAAATGGTTCGCGCTGGCTTGAATGCAATTTATTTGTCAGGTAAATTACTTTCTTTCTTAAATCCGTAGATTCGTTCATCTACTTCGATGAAGTCTTTACTTGAAAGAATTCAAGATTGCGAAAAATTCTATATTAACCACGGACAATATTTTTTAGGATGGCAAGTTGCTGCAGATGGAAATACAGCCGGATCTATGTATCCAGATCAAAGTCTTTATCCAGCCAATTCTGGACCAGAAATGACTCGTCGAATCAATAGAACTTTGGAACGAGCTTCACAAATCGAAAATTCAGAAGGCGGAGTAAAACGTGATTGGTTTGTTCCAATTGTTGCCGATGCCGAGGCTGGATTTGGAGGTCCGTTGAACTGTTTTGAAATCATGAAAGCTTACATTGAAGCTGGCGCTGCTGGAGTTCATTTTGAAGATCAATTGGCTTCGGAGAAAAAATGTGGACATTTGGGTGGAAAGGTAATTAAATCTGAACTTTTACTTGAACTTCAAATATTAATTGCATTTATTTTTGAAAACAAATTGCAGGTTTTAATTCCAAACAGTGCTCATTTGAGAAATCTGAATGCGGCTCGTTTAGCGGCAGATGTTTGCGGAGTCCCAACGGTTATCGTCAGCCGAACAGACGCCGAGTCAGCAACACTTTTGACTTCAGATATCGACGAACGAGATCGAGAATTCATCGACATTCAAGCTGGTCGAACTCCAGAAGGATTTTTTCGTTTAAAAAAAGGAACTGGCTTGAAACATTGTATCAAGAGGGGAATCAGTTCAGCGCCATTTACGGATCTTCTTTGGTGGGAAACATCAACACCAAACTTACAAGATGCAAAAGAATACGCAGAGGCGATACAAAAGGAATTCCCGGGGAAAATGATGGCTTACAATTGTTCTCCTTCGTTCAACTGGCGAGCAAATTTGAGTCCAGAAACAATTTCAAAATTCCAGGTCACTTTTTTTATAATTATCTAAAAGTTTTCACATTTCAAAACATTTTAGACTGAACTCGGAGCCATGGGATACAAATTTCAATTTATTACGCTAGCTGGTTTCCATTCGGTAAACTTTGGAATGTTCGAACTTGCGCGAAAATACAAAGATCGGGGCATGGCTGCCTATTCAGAACTTCAACAGGCAGAATTCGAAGCGGAGAAAAATGGGTACACAGCCGTTCGTCACCAGCGTGAAGTCGGAACTGGATATTTCGATTTAGTGGCCATGGCTGTTACAGGTAAAGAAATTGAACCGACCGAATTCCGAATGAGAGTTGATATGGTATTTGATACTGAAATGTTAAATTTATAGAAAAATATAAAAAGTTTCTGTGAAAAACGTCTCATTGAGTTCGAGTTGACTCTACAATATAAAATAATTTATCGAATTAACCGAATATGTAATAAATGATATATTTTAGGAGGAAAAGCAAGCACAACCGCCTTGTCTGAATCTACTGAGACCATGCAATTCAAGAAACAAGTACAATCAATCCCTGTGAGCAGTGCGCCGATTCGTTTCCAAACGACCATCAAACCGACGAATGTTACCAGAATTTCTCCATAAATTTTTTGATACTGGGCGTGTTAATATGTCGATTAAATTCTATGAACTGTCGACTCAAGAACACAGAGAAACGAATTCTTTTTTAAATTTGTTATTATTAAACATATGTATAAATATATTAATAACAACTAGTATTAAAGATAAAAACAAATGTAATTGATTTCAAGTGCTCCAATTCTCATTATAGCAGTAGTGTCGAATTTGAAACGGGAATTTTCAACCTTTGAGTTTCAATTTGCACTTCTCTATTCATTGTGATCAAGGAAAATGTTACACCCACAATGCAGAGACCTCACCCCATCCACCAGCTCCCATATGTGTACTTCATTACACTCACACTACAGAGAGAGAGAGAGAGAGAGAGGGGCCTCAATGTGATATTTGAAACTTGAAGGTTGAAAATTAAAGTTTCAAATTCGACATATATGATCACTCACGATAGTCGAACGAAAGAAATAAATTTTTACATAAAAACATATTTTCTTTTTATTAATTTTATAACTAATTGTGCTTCATTCATTTCAGTTATTGGTATACTTGAAATTTTATCAGAGAATAAAACATCTTTATTTTAACAGTCTAAAAGTATTAAAAAAAAAACAATTTTCGGCATTTTTTTATTTTGTTACAAATACTTTCGTTATTTTTTCCTTCGACATCCTATTTTCGACACTTTTTCTTTCGTTCGTTTTAATACATACCATATAGTTGGTAAACCCTGAAGATCGAAGACAGTAATTGCCGAATTGTACTTGATACAGATAGGGTTAAATGCAATCAAAACATCTATGATGATACACACCTTTGAAAGAATTCCAATGAGCGAGAGGATACAGAAACAAAAAAGTTACATGCGTCACAAAGGAGTGCGTAGAAAAATAGAAATCAGTTTGGCAGGAAGAAGCGAAGAGAGCACACTGCGAGCTAAAGATGCAATGGGAAAGAAACGTCACGAAATCGTTCTCGATCATCACGTGACTATTTCACTGCTAATAATAAATAAATAATTTTTTAGGGTAGAGATTAATAGAAAGAAGGAACAAGATTCTGAAAATCGATATATGACAACAATGTTTATCACCAGAAAATAAATAAACTGCATTTGCTTTTGTGTGTAATGTAACTTACCTTTGAATTATAGTTTAACAGATTTTTTTCATTCTCCTACATCCTATTTTTACATGTCGTTGCTTTTTTTAAGTGACTTTTGCTCTGGAAAAAAATGTCAGCTGCTTTTGCCTTCAATTTAAGAAAAGTGGGTTTTATTTGTTCTTTTTTTTCTTCTCGTCACAGGAAAGAAGAAGTAAAAACAAAAAATAACAAACGGCATTTTTCTGCAGTATCTCAGCTTTGATGATATTCGCAGTGTAATTTTATTCTTTCCGCCGTTCGTTTAAAACGACCATCCGACAAAGTCTACATATAGAAGTCAAATAAGAAAAGAATTTTTTATCTTTTTATCAAGAAATGTATTCGACATTGGCACAAGACGAATGTTCAATATGTGAAACTTCATGGAAATCAGATAAACAGACAGTGACAACCGATTGCAATCATACGTTTCATCGGCATTGCGCTCAAAAGCGTCTCGACGAGGCACATAAAAGTGATTGTAGAACATGTGGCATGCAATTCGCATTGATTAATGCGCTTCAAAAACATACAGCAACAAGAACAACTACAACAAATATAGAAATTGATGCAAATAACGATCAATCTGAAACAACCGTACGTTTATTATATTTCGTGTTATATAACGGTTTGCAAATTTGTAGGTGTTTACTAATTTCTGAAAAGTTTGAAACTATTCAATCGCAATAGTATATAGATCAGTGTCAAGCAGAAAATATCGAAAGATTTATGCTATTGTCAAGTTAAGCTGATTAGTTGATCAGTAGTAATAACAATAAAACATAAATTGTTTTTGTCCTGATAGCAGTCGTAGCAGCTGGCAGGTTACAAACTCAATAATCTCTTGACAGTAAGATATATTTGTCTATGTCGACTGAAGATGTAAGGTAACCCAAGTGAAAGTGTTCCAGCCGAATTGAGAAGCCTACATTTTCATTAAAATTTCCTTATAAGTAATTCGTAAATCTTTACAAATGAGATGGTAAGATGTATCTCAGAAACAAATGATTTGACGTACACTAGTACTGTAGACGTAGTCTTACAAATGTGACTTACATATGTATATACAAAACTGTGGCCGTAGAGCTGGATGTACATCTCCTATCCTACACTCATATCTATGCATGTAGACAAGATTGTTTGTGTTACTGCATAAAAAACAATAACCCAGGACGTTGACAACGCGATATAAGTTGTTGATGTAAAGTTTGCGTCTCATTGGTGACATATGATCCGAGATCACTGTTCAAGTATTTCTTTATTTGGTGAAATTATAAAATAGAAACCTATATATCTTCTTTTCTTTTTAATATTTATAGAAGGCAAAAGAAGAACAATCTATTAGCGTGCCAATATCAACTATAGACAGCTATGAACATGATGATGAAGTAAATGGTTGGCAATGTATAAAATGCTCGATGAAGAATAGGAAATCGACGAAAAGATGTGCCTCTTGCGGTGAACCACAGAATGCTGCATCTACTGAATCACATTCCACTTCTCAAACAACATCATTTGAAGATACTGATGATGATGATGGTGACTATAGTGCAAGATCAGATGACGAGGAAGACGCTTATTTGAAAACAAATTTTACAGTAGATACAACAGGTTAGTGTAAACGTTAGGCTTTATCTCAAGATAACGCAATATTTTTAACTTTTCTTCTTCTTCCATTGCGCAAGTAAAAGAATTTCGTGCTTTGTTTTTTATGAATGAGGATGAAATCATGAAGACGTTTGACACATAAATAATATACAATGATGAGTGATGTATTGATGACTGAATGCCTACTCCTATACATAGAAACATCGAACACTGATCCAGTCCAATCTATGAATGATCTATGTGTTGTCGATTAATTGACCGCCTGTGAAATATTTAGTTTTTTTTCTAATCAGTCAGTACTTCCTGACTTTTTAGCAGGGAAATCAAAAGACTTTGCTATCTCATTTTCAATAACAGTAGATATTTAATTTTTACTACTTTAAAAGAGCTTTGATTGATTTAGATATGCATTGATTTGCCTACGACGATAAACGAACAGTCGTAATTGAATAGCACGTGATAATAGAAAATGATGGTTGAGAAAGATTAGCAGAAATGGAATTAAAAAAATAGAAAAGTAATTTTTTATGAAGCAGAGAAACGAGACACGATTCGGTTCATGAACATTCATCTCAAAATCGAATCACCCCAGTCAATTTGAAGCCATGTCACACACACACACACACACCGCACCGCCAAATAGCCGTCTGATCAAATGCTGGAGATATTGTATTCTTGCATGTATAATTACGTAAAGATTTACTGATAAATCCCAATAAAACGTAGTACAGATATATATGCAAGTGTCAAGATCATGCGCTTGTTGAAAAATTTTTAGCATGTTTGTGTGAAGACAATATTTATTATTATGATCCTTGATATAGCAATAGAACATTTTATTAACACTTCTAAAACATTTTTCTTTAGAAGAAAACTAGTACCAACAAGTATGATCACTCACGATTAGATTAACCAGGCATCTTTTTAGAGAAGCAAATCACCATAGCCCGAAAAACGAGAAGAAACAGCTATTGATCCAAAACATGAGTTATATATATGTTCATACACGAAAAATATAAATAATGCATTTTTCGTATAGAACTCAACTTGGAGCACTAAGTAAAGGTTCAAACGTCTATTTCTCATGCAAACGAGTACCGAAGTGTGTCTTTTATATATCTCTCTCTTATATTAGTATATAAAGAGCTGATATTTTGAATTCCCAGTTAACGATTGTAGTTACTTTTTATCCTTTGCATTATACATATGTACTGTAGTATGGTTTTATTTCACCATCTCTCCAACAAGTGTATCTATTTAAGTTTTTGATCATTGGAAGCTACAACTAGAAACAGTATACGTTATAGATGTAATCGTCAGTGTTCATGTCTGAATATTGTAATTATTATAATGCATAGCATGCTCTATCTAGTAGATAATTTTGATGGATTACAAAAAATGCTCTTGAAAATTTTACAAGCACTTCTCTCTTTAGACAACGAACAGATACAGAAATGAAATTTTAGATGAAACAAAGAGAGTTCACAAATAACCTCATATCTACCAATTATATACCCTGTACAATTGGTTTTTGAAGGCCGTTTCAATAAAGATGAATGTCAAGTGATAGAGCTTAAAATTGAGAGTTTGCTGTATTTCACTTAACACTATTATAGCGGAAAAGTAAAGAAATAAAAAAAAGCAAGTAAATTTAACGTCACCCAATCTTTTCTCTTTCGTTCAGAATCTCACAAAATAATGTTTAATACATTTTTAGTGAGTATACTCATGATCAACTAGAGACATTCATTATTTCCCGTAATTTTCTCCAGTATCTTTTTTTTTGAATTGCGATCGTTCGAAGTTCTAATCGAAATCATCACAAAATCAATAAGTTTAAACATCAAGTGTAGCTTTTAATGTTGATGACTTGTCTATTACAATAGTTGATCAGTTATCTTTGTCAAAAACCGTTAAAATATATCATTCGAAATTAGAGGTTCATGATTTTTTTATTTACTTATCAGATGGGGAAAGTACATCGAGCTCAACAATTTATTCACATCTGGATTCTCCGAGAAGTTCAACAACAGAATACTTGTCAAAATCATATGACGCCGAAAATTTTAGACCAAAAGCAACTACAGACTCTGTTATGCGAGCATCCACGATACGAAACGAATCAACTAATCGAACAGAAGCTTCACAAAGCGAAATCGTGTACATTTCTAATCTGCCCATAGACATCGATGATAATATAAAACTGGAAAATAGAATTCGTCATCGGATCGAAAAATCTCTAAAACTGAAATTGCGAGATATAAAGTGTTATACGAAATTGGGTGTTGGTTTTATTTGTGTTGACAATAGGGAAATAAAATATGAATTAATTAATGATATTGGAAACATTGTTCTAGATCCTGGTATTGGGAAAATTGTGATTTCATTTGTTGAGGAGCTTGAATTGACTTCGTACATTGTATTAAAAGTGATTGAAGGCAAGCAAGATACTTTACCGACAGTAAATGAAGTGAGCGATCGTTGCATCAATATATTCAAACTTGAAAAGTCACTTTTGTGTGAAAAATTGAATATTCAATTTCCCAACATTTATAAAATTGTGTTTACATCATTAGATGAAATAATAAGAGCCATGCATAGCCCAGACCTTGCGATCAATGGTCGATTCGCTCAAATCTATTTTTGTGCAGATTGTAGTTATTTTGAAGATGTACCACGATTCGTAACTGAAGCTAAATTGCAAACAGCTATTGAACAAGAAATTCGACAACTAAATGCTTCTCTGTCATGTATTTGGGTACAATTAAACAAACAAACGAATAATGCTTGCATACTTTTGACGGGTGTAGCACGACATTGGTCAACCGTAAGCTACTTACCTATTAATGATAGAGTATTATTAAAAAAGACAAAGCTTACGTGTCGTCTTCGTATATATCCTGTTCCTCAGTCATTTGCCGTTAAGAAGATCACAGAATATGAAGAATTTTCCGGTAAACTGAATAGTTATACGCACAATGGTGAGAATCTTATTCTTGAAGTATCAGACAAAACTGTTTTTGATAAATATGTGTCACTTGAGGCATTGCGTGTCAACAATGATAATTGCTTTCATGTCGAAGCTTATAACGCACAAATTAATCCAGACGAATGTGAAATCGATGAGGACACATGGTATGACACTGAAATGTCACGATACAAACCGGATATAATGCAATTTGTTAAAAAGCCTGAGCATGAAATTTTTCGATATAAGTGGAATTCAAAAATATGGCTTAAGAAATTTAGTCAAACAGCGTTACAGAAAAATGGTACCAAGAATGCACGCGATCGAAGAGATACACCAAGCGATCAAACTCGTCATCGACTACGAGTTACAGTTATGCTGAGTACACTTGCAGCTGTACACAAGAAAAGTTATGCTATTGGTGGTGAGCAAATAGTTGAACTGAAAATAGACAATAAAATGAAAACAATTATCTATGATCATCGATCAAAATTGGAACAAGTAGGAAAATTAACGGTCCGAGAAGGACTATATGCCAATACACGTATCGATGTAGCCAAAGAAGATTGTCTAGTTGTATACGAGAATCTGGTTAAACGTGGTTATAATCCACTTCTTCTCAACATGGCTAATGCAACGAATCCTGGTGGTGGATATCGAAAGGGTGATGGAGCTCAAGAAGAAAATATTTTTCGTCGATCCGACTATTTTCGAAGTCTTGATGTTGGTCTCGATCAGTGGCTTCCAGAAAGGAGCGAACGTTTTTATTGTTCATCGAGTTGTCAAATCGATCCTCTTTCTGATCACAATAGTATGTATCCGATGCATGAATTTGGCGCTATCTATACATCACGTTTGACCGTTTTCCGTCAGTCTGAAGATACAGGTTATAATTATATGAAAAAGCCGCTCGAAGGTGTATGTTCGTTGGCTATGGCTGCTTATCGAGATCCGAAATTGGATGGAAACATGTTAACATCAAAATATGCTGTGGGAACACGGAAAAAAATTGAAAATATATTTGCTATTGCGCATCATCAAAAACATGATAGTCTTGTTCTTTCTGCTTTTGGATGTGGTGCATTCAAGAATCCGCCCGGCCACATTGCGCAACTTTTCATTTCTGTCATTGAACAGTATGCTGGTTTTTTTAAATTAATTTCATTTGCTATCATTGATGATCATAATGCTGGTCATCATTTGAATCCCGAAGGTAATTTTAAGCCATTCAAAGATGCACTCGATGGGATGGTGGTACCACGAATGCCTCCAATAAATAAACCACATAGCATGTTTGGACCTTATCGAATTTTGTCTCATGATTGGTCCATAAATAATGTTTGCATTTACGACAAGATGCCATGCAATTTTGGAGCCAAGTGCAATGATATTTACGATCTTACACATGCACAAGAGTTCTCTCATCCACCTATTTGTCCACATGCAGCTATGAAGGTCAGTTGTCATCTAACGAAAGACTCCGTTCATATGCACTCATTTATTCATCGAATTCGATGTCAATATGGTGGCGAATGTCGACATATAGACGATGAAAAACATAATCAAGAATATGAACATCCATTATATTGTCCATCGGGAGGTGACTGCCGTAATGTGAAATCAGAACATTTAAAAGATTTTCGTCATTTACCTTTATGTCCCAATGGCCATAAGTGTTTCGAATATCAAAAACATGTATCAGTTCATTGCCAAAAATATCGTCACTGTACAATCGACTGTCCACATGGAAATCATTGTGCTTATTTTCATGACAAAGAACATCAAGATAAATTTGAGCATCCATTTGCGAAACCATGCCCGTTTACTCCATTTCACTGCAAAGCATACATGGAATTAACACACACTAAAGATCGTCAAAAGCTCTCACACGATATTCAACAACATTGCCTGGATTTAGCTCATGTATGCCGGCAAGGTCGGAATTGTAATGATAAAACTACCCTTCATCTAGAAAAATCTATTCATGTTGCTCGATGCTTGTGTCCAGCTGGTGACAAATGTAAAAAAGTTAACAATGAAGATCATCTTAATGCATATACACATCCTCATATTCCTGATATAAGAGAACTATGTGAATATGCAGATCAATGTTTCGATCGTGGCAAACTTGAACATATAATAAAATTTCGACATGCATCAAAGTTTGAACATAGTGGTATTTTAAGTTATTTTAATTTGAATGCGGGTATTAATTTTGTTCAAAATCAAAAAAGGATCATCGAGAATGTTACTGCTTATATTCAAAGTAAAAAATGGAAACCATTACCATCAGGAAATATTCCACGTGAAATTATCGATTGGCTACGGTTTGTTAAGCCTGTTCATCGATGTAATCCAATCATATTTGAATCAATTCTTCTTCATGGACATGTCATGAGTCGAAAATATATGCAGCACTTGAAAAACCCGATATTTGTTGCCAACTCTGTTTTACAACATAGTCGAATAAAACGTATTCGCGGCTTACAGGAAAGAGTAATGGCTGATCTTGCTAGAGAATTCGTCATTGCTTTGGTACGAGAGCAGTTTGAGAAAAAAAACTTTTCCCCTTTAATAACAACTGCCCCGATTTTAGGTGATTTATTATACCCAACAGCGGCTCATGTTGATTCAATGGCCTATAAAAAGACTGCTAAAGATCTGGAAGCTTATTTTTCGTCTGTAATAAATTCGAACGATTTAGATGCAATACGCAACAAAGCAGTTGAAATCGCGGATGCCTCCATAAATCTTCATATGAACCCATCTGGTATTGGTTTTGATAAAGATCATGATCTCGGAACAGATAAAACAGTTTTCAGTATTATTGGACCACATTTGGGACATTACTATGGTGATGTATTCATTGTTTTCAAGCGTTCAATTCTACATCATCCAGATGCTAACTTTTCAATTCAAGCAGCAACAGCATATATCAGTGGACATGCCTTTCAAATGCGTCCATGGTTAGGCAAGGATTCAGGTTTACGTGATGAAAACCTAAAACTGTATCACGGTACAAAATTAAATGCTTCTGTACCAGGCTACGATTATGCGACTGCTCTTGAATTGATGGCTCTTACAAGTCATTATTACAAACTAAAATCAATGGATGTTACTCTCAATCGAATTCTAGAACGTTGGGTCAATGTTGACTCGCATATAAATATTGAAGGTCATTTACCTCAGCTTATTCCATTAAGTTATATTGATCATATTTTCATTCCAAAAAATTTGTACGAATCACTTAGTGCTGCTTCACATAGAGCAATTAATTCTAACTTCAAAAATCGTATTACTATTATACCACACGATGGAGAAGCCAATCAACCCGGTGGGCCACGTGGTCCGAAGCCTCCAACAAAATCTCGAGCAGATTATCAGGAGACTGTTATTAGACAATTGACAAAACAGTATAGTGAATATTTGAAAAATCCACCATCAAGATCAGTGGAAGGTGCTGCTATCACTATAGCATCTACTGACTTCACTGACTATTATTTATTGCCTCTCACCATTTCTCAAGCATATGATCAATATTGCTTTGCTAAGAAGCATCCACCTCCGGATCAAATAACTTACATTTATTGGCAAGTCAGCAATGGAGATATGATGTTGACCTTGTCAAATCAAATAATAGAACCTGGTCAGAAACAACCACGTCTTCGTTGTTTGACTTGTTACATAGCTCCGAAGCCCTTATCAAGTATTTCTTCATATCATGAGCAATATTCATATTTGGATAACAATCCACCGTTTAAGCATCATATTTTGAAGGAGCAAGGAAAATTTGCTGCTAAATCAGATAGATTCCATGTTGGCTGTAACACAGATGATTTTATGACGTTTTGTCTTGAAATTCAACGTTCGAATGGTCGAGTAACACTCATGCATGCCGGTCCAAATGGAGTTTACAATCATGAAAAAATCTCGCATACTTTCAAGAAAGCAGAACTCGATTTAACACGATTGAATTATGTTTATGTGAGTGCCGGTTCTCGCACCGTACCTGTTCGAAACTTGATGATCTACTTTGAGAAACAAACTGATTTACATCCAACATTCGACAAAAATTTTAAGAAAGTGTCAGCCACTCCACGAGAGCATTTTCCTCGTGATAAAAAACCTCATGACAGCAGCAGTAATGACTACAAAGCATCAACACCTAAGACACATAATAATGATGACGATGATGATAATAATGGAAAGAAAACTCCAGGAGTTTTACATCAAATTAAGGATTTCTTTTTTGGTGATGATCATAGTTCTACATTGATACCTTGTCGCGATAATGTCAACTGTCTTTTTCAATTCTCTGTACATGGTGCATCTGATCATAACGCCAAATATTCACATCCATGTCGCTATTCTGAACTGTGCCGAAATAAAGAGTCTAACTTTACACATGAATTTCATCAAGTATCCAAGTGCAAATATGACAAGAGCTGTAATAAATTAGATGATCCATTTCATCGAGCTGAATATCGTCATACCGAGTTACCCGATTTTCTTGTTCCATGTCGTGATCAATGCGCTTGTGTCAACAACACGAACAAACATCGAATTAAATATTCACACGGTGAAAAAGTCTATCGGACAAAAACGACGCCAGAAAAGGGTAAGAAACGGAGCTTATAACAAATCGTTTTCTAAACAATGATTTGTATTTTGAAGAACGAGCAAGTTCAGCACCTAAACGTGAACATGGCAGTAATGCACTATCACGTTGTCAATGGGGCTCGAAATGTTGGAACATTGGTGACCGCAAACATTGTGAACAGTTTGCTCACTCAACTCCTGGTCATAGCGAAGATAATATACGGCAAGCTAGTCAGCAACATAAAAATCCATGCAGATATGGTGCCAAATGTTATAGTACGAGTAGCAACCATCGAGCAGAATACTCACATCCTCCAAGTGAAAAGGACGACAATCCAATAAAATATTCGCGTAAACCATGTAGATATGGCGAATCATGTTCATTAATTAGTGATACAAGCCATCGAGCAAAATATTCTCATTAACCCTTTCAATCCCATCATTTTCTTGCGTTCTGTATGAAGAAGAAAAAAGAAGTTCAATCTCTCTCTTTTGCGTTCTGTCGTCACGATCAGCTGTATTTGACTCTATATATATTGAAGTTAATATGCATATACATATACACTGTCAAATATAGAATGCCTATATGAATTTGCAAATGATATTCTAGAAATGCCAATACGAATTCAGTGATAAATTTCTACTTTTCGAATACAAAATCCTGGTATTCAAGTTTAAATTTAATGCAAGAAATTGTTACAATCTTCTTTTTTATTTCGCCTTCTTCTTATTATTATCTTTTCGCCAGAAATAATCCCCCTTCTTAAAACATTAACACTCACTTAAATAGAATAGATAAGAGAAGAAGAATGGAATGATTGTAAACGTGATAGAATGAAACAGAGAGAAGAAAAGAGAACATACTTATGACAGGAGAGAGATCCCCTGACATAACAGAAATCAAATTGAATTTCAATTATTGAGAAAATCAAGCATTGTCTAAAAAAAAGAAATTCGATAAATGAATGATAAAAGCTTGAATAGCTTAGTTACTAAACTTGATTTTCTACAAAGCAGAATTTTTAAAAAAATGACAGTGTAAACCCATTTTGGTGTCATTTAGATCCTTCATCTTTTTCTTAGAATACAACATATGATATAGGTCGTTGAAGAAGACGGCAGAACGAAAAAAAATTGTTTCGTGTTCTTCATGTCATCTACGAGATGACATGCGGGATTGAAAGGGTTAAAAGGCAGTATGCTTATCGAAAGAGAGAAACTGCAATAAAACGATTTTTAAACACTGGATATTAACTAATTCTTTTTACTTTCGTCTTCATACAAACATGTGAACAAAACAATCTTTTTGTATTGAGCAAGAATTAAAAGAGTGCGTATGTAGGTGAGCATGAATAGAGACTGCCGTATAATCCACACCCGCATGTCCTTTATCCGTTCTTGAGTTTTTGTTCATTTTGAGAAAACATATATTACCGTGAAATCTTCAGTAACAATTCGATTTTCCACAAGCCTTATTTGTTAATGCTATAGGTTCATTTCAACCTGATTCAAATTGTAACTTACATTTCATCAGATGACAATTGAAAAGACCTCTGATTTTGTCTCTTGTATGACATAAACGTAGGGTACTAAATGGACGCTGCCGTTAGAGAGCAATCATCTAGAATTACGTTTCAATTTTTGTGATCTTAGGCATTTTTTTATTAGATCAGTACATGAAAAACGTTTGTAGGCCATTTATGTGGATTTCTAAGATCTCGAAAAGCCCTGTTCAGAAGTGCTTGAATGGTTCCAAATAGTGATAAATTCGGATACCCTGTGTTAAGGTGTACATTCAAGTTTTCTTAACTTGTTTATTTAGCTGATTCAAACATACACTTAACAAAAAATCTTGAAACAATAACAGAGACAGAGATACTCCTTACTCAATGATCTCCAACGAGATGAAGAATACGTAATGATATAAACGGAGGAAAATACACAAGAGAAAGAGAGCGCTATCGAGGCAGATGATGCTAATCATCTATGTATGAACATAAATCGCAACACTCTACTAGGATTTTACAGAAAGCAGATTTTCTTTAAAAGTAGTAGGTACATACAGAATTATTTATACACTGAAATTTTGCTGACTCATTTAATCCCAACCAGGAATATTTCTTTTTCTGCGTTTTTCTATGATTCAAATTAAATTTTCAAAGTCTGGTATCATATAGAATAAATGTAATTGTAGTTAAATAGAACACTAACACGCTACTCATTTTGTTTTCAGAAAATATCATAGAAATACCTTTTATGAAGTGCATGGCTTGGCTTCATATTTTACAGAATATTAGTTTCTCAATTTGAAATACAAATTATATGTGATAAAATTATTGAAGCAGTGGAGCAACTTAAATCAAGATTATGATCAGACATGTACAGATATAATTCTAATAAAGTACTGAGAGCATATATACTAGAACATACATATAGGGATGTACCGAGACCGAGTACTCGGTCTCGGTCAGTCTCGGTCTCGCACGTCTCGGTAGTCTCGGGGAGACTCTCGGCGTCTCGGTGTCTCGGTCATGATCTTGATATTAACTAGTTTAAGTCTCCGTTTTAGAGCCTTGTTCATGAGACGAATATGAAAATCGATCTATCCATAAAAATATCGTAAATATCAGCAGCGTTATGTGTATTATGCTGTCTTCATTTGTTAAAAACGTGGCCGTTTTATGACGATTATAGTTTAAAATGGTAAACACTAGTCTTCAAAGTTACTAAAGACTTGCTAAATCTACGTCAGTGTGTGTCTATCTCGATATATGGTTAGCTCGGTCTCTGTTTTATAAATTACACATGGAAAACTGAGAATGTTTGCCCATAGAGATGCACGCGGGCAAGCAAACTGTTAACGAAAACAATGATTTTCCTCTATACATTACCTAGAAAACGGAAAGAGACTTTTACTGCAATTTAATCACATTGATTTTGACTAATTCCATGCACAAAGAAAACAGCTGATCAGTTGAAAAAATGCGCCAGCTTCGACCAATCTTGACGAAATCTTGCAATTTCTGATCATTTTGACTGTCACAGGAATAGCTTTCGTTCTAGTCGGCCTTTCTGGTTATACATACAACTAGATGAAATAAAGCCGATAAATTCGTAACAGAGACCGAAACGGGGCAGGTAATCGGGGCGAAGCGGGTAGAGATTCTGGCGGGTAAAAATATCACGCGGCGGGGTTGTCTCTTGATATTCTTTTTTTATGTCCTCGTTTCTCATCATGTCTTTCCAATTGACTCTTCAAATTCTTCCGTAGCATATCATTTCGAATGCTAGTAGCCTTCTTTTATCGGTTTCTTTAAGGGTCCACGTTTCTGAGGCGTATAGTAGTACACTAAAGACACATGTTGTTAGGATTCTTAATTTGTTCTCTATTGTGAGTTTCTTTTCGTTCTATATGTGCTTCATGGATGCCATTGCACCGGTTGGTTTGCCTATCCTCCTTTTTATTTCTTCTGTACAGTTGCTATCCAATGTTATTAGGCTTCCTAGGTATTCGAATTTGTCCACATTCTCTACTGGTAGGGATGTACCGAGACCGAGTACTCGGTCTCGGTCAGTCTCGGTCTCGGTCAGTCTCGGTCTCGGTAATCTCGGCGAGACTCTCGGTGTCTCAGTCATGATCTTGATATTAACTAGTTTAAGTCTCCGTTTTTGAACTTTGCTCATGAGACGAATATGAAAATCGATCTATCCATAAAAATATCATAAATATCAGCAGCGTTATGTGTATTATACTGTCTGCATTTGTTAAAAACGTGGCCGTTTTATCATGATTATAGTTTAAAATGGTAAACACTAGTCTTCAAAGTTACTAAAGACTTGCTTAATCTACGTCAGTGTGTGTCTATCTCGATGTGTGTTAGCTCGGTTTCTGTTTTATAAATTACACATGGAAAACTGAGAATGTTTGCCCATAGAGATGCACGCGGGCAAGCAAATTGTTAACGAAAACAATAATTTTTTTCTATACATTACCTAGAAAACAGAAAGAGACTTACTGCAATTTAATCACATTGATTTTGACTAATTCCATGCACAAAGAAAACTGCTAATCAGTTGAAAAAATGCTCCAACTTCGACCAATCTTGATGAAATCTTGCAATTTCTGATCATTTTGACTGTCACAGGAATAGTTTTCGTTCTAGTCGGCCTTTCTGGTTATACATACAACTAGATGAAATATAGCCGATAAATTCGTAACAGAGACCGAAACGGGGCGGGTAATCGGGGCGAAGCGGGTAGAGATTCTGGCGGGTAAAAATATGACGCGGCGGGGTGGAGGTGAAGTTAGGACGAGGCGAGAAAGGTTTTCACGGGGGGGGGGAGGGTAAGCTAAACCCCCGAATTTTTCCCGTACTAGAGTTTGATAAAATAAACACTCGTGTAAACATAAACAATAAATCTGAATAATGGATATATATATGCTTTATGATAGATTTCTCTTTGTTACGAGTCTGTATCTTTTCAATACTTTCAAAACTAATTCGATGAATTGTCATTTTCACAAACTCTTCTGATGATTCATCACATATTAGAAAGCAAAATAAATCAGTCTTATTCTTTTTATTCTCAAGTTTTATGCTAATAATATATCAACCAGTTATCTTTCGTAATATGTAGCCAAATAAATCATATGTTAAAGAAAGAAATATATTTTTTAAAGGCTAAGACACACCCTAAATAAAATAAAAAAAACGTTTCCTTGGAAACCAGGATATTAGGTTTCGGATCATTTAAAAAGCTAAATAAGTTCCCAGGCTGATTACGGAAGCCTGAATATGTTTACGAGCTGATATTGGATACGTTTAAAAGGTTCTCGAGGGGAAAACTGGGGTTTCGAGCTTCCGATACTTTAAAAACATTTTTATACCGATAAACCTGCAAACGCTGAAGGGCTTCCGAAAAGTGGCGGAGTTTCTATATTTTAAGAAACAGATCATTTTTTCCGGTAGTTCATCAGCATTTCTGGGTTGGTCACTATAAGAAACGTTTTTATGGCTTCCGACGCTCGAAAGCCCATTTTCTCGTTCCTAGAACCTTTTAAAAGTTTTCATGGTCACCCCGGAAACGTATTCAGGTTTCCGGAATCAATCTGTAAACCTATTTTCCTGGGTTCCAGAGAAAAGTATTATTATCTAGAGTGTAGGCATCAAAGAAACAAAAGTTCAGACTAGGGACTGGGCAAGGCTGGGGACCAACAACTATCCCCACTTCGGCCTCTTGTTCGTAATAGAATCTTTGTTGAGTTTTATAAGTTATTTACGGAGGGAAATCCTTTTTTTTGTTAATAATTTGCTTGCCCGCGTGCATCTCCATGGACAAACATCCTCAATTTTCTATATCTAATTTATAAAACAGAGGCTGAGTTAACACACATTAAGATCGACACACACTGACGTAGATTAAGCAAGTCTTTATTAACTTTGAAGAATGGTGTTTACCATTTTAAACTATAATCGTCATAAAACGTCACGTTTTTAACAAATGAGGTCAGTATAATGCACATAAGGCTGCTGATATTTACGATGTTTTTATGGATAGATCGATTTTCATACTCATCTCATGAACAAGGTTCTAAAACGGATACTGAAACTAGTTAATATCAAGATCATGACCGAGACACCGAGAGTCTCGCTGAGACGACCGAGACTACCGAGACCGAGACTCTCGGTTTTGTCTCGGTCTCAGTACATCCCTACATACATATGAAATATTTTACCCAGTTTTGATTAAATGTGAAAAAACATTGGAAAGACAATTGAGCAAGGGAGAAACGGCAGACTTTTGTACTTCAAGTACTTTGCGCTACTTTAGGCTACTTTAGGCTACTTTAAGCTACTTTAAGCTTACTTCAAGTAGAGTACTTTGAAGTACTTTTCAACTTCAAATTCGCTTGAAGTTACTTGCAATTACTTCAAGCTACTTTGGACTACTTTGGACTACTTTGAGCTACTTTGAGTTACTTTAAGCTACTTTAAGCTTACTTCAAGTAAAGTACTTTGATGTACTTTTCTTCTTCAAGTCTGCCTTTTCCCCCTTGCAATTGAGGCTCATTTTATCGTTCTATAGTGGAATATATACAACTTTTGAAGAACATCTTGCCACATCCGCTAATTTACCCGCCAGACATTATCAAGTGTGCATGCGAATCTTCCTTTCACAGGTGACATTTACTGCTATTCCTTTAAACATGCTAAAAACAAACATCATCCTGCAATAAATAACGTCTATGGGCACATTTGTTTGTTTTCTTTTCGAATTTTCAGAATTTATCTAGATTTTCTTGATAAACAATGGGTAGCCGACTAACTACAAGAGGTATGAGCGTATAAATAAATGAGACGTTCTTCATTTCTTCTCTATATTTTGTGTTGCACCTCGTATGTGAATTTTTCCTTGTAAAAAAATAAAACACCACCGCAACAGCGACAAGCGTGAAGAAAAAATTACAGAATACAAGCATAATAAAACAATATCTGATGATGGCGATGGTACGCCTGATGGCATATTTTTATTATTACCCAGGTTGACAATCCATGTTTCAAACAGACAAGATTATCCTATTTTACACATACACATTTCTTTCTCATTAAAGTGGAAAATGATCTTGAGGGTGTGGGTGTGTGTACAAAATGAAGCACCCACACCCATACACCCCACAACCACACATTCTAGTAGAATTTTATTTTAAACTAACTAAATCTCAATGATTATAATCGATTCAAGAGCTGAATCAATTTTTATGGATTTTAATCGAGAAAAAATAATAAAATACATGAAAATCTATTATAGTAGCTTTAATCGACTTTATGCGATTAAAGTAAAACAAATCGATTGTAATCGATGAAAAATCTTTGATTCCTAATCCACTTTGAAAAAAATCGATTAAAATCTTCAATTTAATCAAAAAAAACATATTTGTTAGATTTTCATCAATTATTTGTGGTTTGAATCGATTATAATCCAGAACATGTTAATTTTTCACGTAAATTTTTTCACATGCGTAGCATCCATGTCGACGTAAGCCATAGTAAATACCGTGAATGAAGCTGCTAGCTTTGCCATTAAAGAGAATGAGCTTATCTTATCAAGGTAAGGTTGGGTACTTATAATATCACTATTTTTTGCATCGTCATGATGAAAGTTCGATTTGAATCACTATATAGTGATAGTGTACCAATCATTAAGTATACTGTATATTTGTTGTGCAATCATGTTTGTTCGCTCTATTTTCCTCCTTGTACTCCTTCATTCTATTAATAGTGATAAGACTATCATGCTTGATTCGCTGATTGTTACCCAGGTGCAAGATGCTTCAAATCCAGATGACAATTCGAACGCCTACGCTGTTACTTCGGTTAGCACTCGGGAAGGATTTTTTGTGGACACAGGTGGTACGAATAGTACCACCGCTCAATTAATATTGGCCTATCAGCAACAAGTTCAATCAATCAGTAAACCACCTCAGTTTGTTTTTCTTACGCATGGCCATCCAGATCACACAGGTGGTATTGCACTCATTCAACGAACCTACTCTTCAACACCCATATACGTAGTCAGTCAACAAGTCGCTAAAGAAACCATGCAATGGATTGACTTCAGTTGCGAGCGCAGTACTTTTTCTGGTGCACAATGTAATTTAAACTATGCAAGCATCTTGCGTGTTTTAACGTCACCACAATCGCAACTTTCTTTCAGTCACCCATCTATAAAACTAAGAGCGATAAACGATTTAGTTAAAGGTGACTCATCGTATGCTGGCCTATTAGAGTTGACTACTCCATCCGGAATCCCCTTTCTGTTCACTGGTGACTCAATTGTCATTCAATCCCATTTATATGTTAGCAATTTCTTTGAAAATCAAACTCCTCCTGCTAGTGACAATGCTCTTTGTGAGTGGGCAGGCTATATGCAAGCATCCGGCTGTGAATTTCGTAGCAATCGTCGATTTATCATCTTGCCAGGTCATGGTCCTGTCAGTCATGCAAATAGATACACTCAGGATATAGCACTGAATATTGATTGGATACGAGCATTGCGTAGATTGACATTTAACAGTTGCAACATCTCCTACGTCTGGTCTCAAATGATTCGTCAATATCCAAATTTTGTCAGCAAGGATTTTGATATGAAGGGTGCTCTCAATACACATGTACCTGCCAATGCAAATAGCGTTGGTTGCAAATGTAACAACGGCTTTCCCGCTATCTGCCCAATGTACAATGAACCACCAAGGTGCCGTTATTTAGATAACAATATTGGCGATGCACAACTCTCTTGCAGCACTCGATCTTCTTTTCGTAAAAATACGTAAATATTGAAAAAGCAAAATAAATAAATGAATAACTGTGTGAACTTTGCCGCTATTGTCGTGTTTTTTCTCTTAGTCTTTTATAAGTATGTTAGTGTATGCATGTAAGTGTTGTTTATGAAAAGATTCATGTCCACTATCATTGAAGCATATAGCTAAGTAACCATCTTTGTACTCTTTTAAATATAGGGTGTAACTTTGGTTATCACTATTAATCCTCATTGCTTCTGCACACCCACACCCCTGGAGAAACAGAAGACCTGAACTTATATTTTCATTTTGAAGATGACGAAGTACAAGAAGCAATGCAAAAGAAGCTTTGATATTCTTTTTACTCTATCATTGCCATTTCTCAGTGAAACATATAATTCATCACATGTGATCTATATGAACACTGTCAATATCTGTTTTTTCCGATATATCATTGTTTATTGCAAAAAATGGAAAAAATCATTATCATAAACTAAGACATTTAATATGAGCAGAGTCATCAAATTAATTTTGCTATCAAGATAAAGATGAATAGGATCAAAAACAATTTTCTTCTATCTATGTAATAAGGAAAATAATCTGAGTAGTAGAGAAATAGCAACTATGGAAAGCAAAAAGACGATCAATATGTCTACCCCAAATAAATTATCATTGTCCAATTCTATTTCTTTTGTTTCTCTATTTTTTTTTTAAATTTCGCTCTTTTATTGTTACACTCGGAAGTGCTTACAAGAGTTTCCGTAAGAATTTACCGCTGTTTGATTATCACGGCAATGAACTTTTAAACATACAGACGGGAGAACAAAACAATCATAAGATGCCATGCTTGCTAGATAGAGTGTGATGTATAGAGTTATACATGTAAATAACTCGAAAAGGAAAAAGAAATTAAAGGAGAAAATGAGAATAAAGAAAAAG